CCGAGGGTTAATTTAATTCCAATCCCGCTTTATCCATTATTTTATTACCCAAAATACTTGAGGAAATAACGCAAATGCCATAGAAGAATTTCTCGTAAGCAGCTTACTACAAATGCCATTCGATTGACCTTGACAGCATGGAGGAATTTGTAAGACGACTGACGAAATGGATCTGGAGGTGCTGACCATCCCAGCTTGGGCCATGTACTCCCAAAATCGGATTCCACACTACCAAGGTGACTTCCATGTCGGCGAATATGAACAGCCCTGCGCATAACTGGACTTCGACCACCAGCAAAGAGGAGCGTGTGGCTACCATCGTCGGTCTGCAATCTCTGCGGTCGTTGGGGTTTCACATCAAAGCGCAAATTGGCAGTTCGATGGACCAGAGAACCAGAACCGAAGATGACGCGACCAAACTTTGCTTGGAAGCTGTTGCTTACGGACGTGGTGTCTGGTGCGCTGTTGGTGGTGCTTGAATATGTGCTATCCTCAGTGATAATGAGGCATTGCTCAAAGAGAAACACGCGGCACTAGATGAAATATAATGAAATGAAATGCCCACGGACGTGGTGTCTGTTAGATCAAATTCAGAATGTAGATGGATTATTTGCTTGAAGTCAAATCGGACCAAGTGCATTCTTAAATGGTAAAATATGGAGTGTATTATAGAGCATTTGAGATGATTTTAACAGCCTTCAATTAGCTGCAATTATATTAAAATCATATTTGAATTGTGCAAACTTCTCCTTCAGCAAATACAAACTGGAGAAATGAACAGCGGTTTTTAGGGTTGAGCTATAAAACAGCACAAACATTGTCGAGCAATATCATTAATGCCTGAAGATGTTGCAGACTGGAAGACTTAGTTTGTGGCCGATAGAACTTTCCAACTTTTACTTCAAATACACCCATTCAAAAATAAGTAAAATAGGTGGATGTGAATTATCTGTGGTGCTGCTTTTATTTGTCAAATTATTTAACCTACAAATTTAAAAGTTGTACAGAAATGGGAAAAAGCATTGTGCGTGCGGAGCTTTTGGAGACCTAGGACTGAATTGTTCCAATAATCAAAAGTAGTGACTTAAAGTGGTAAAGAGTT